CGCACTCACTCTCACTCTCACCCACACTCACTAACACCCACCTTCACCCTCACTCACGCTCACTTACACTCACACTCACACTCACTCTCACTCACCCACACTCACTCACACTCACACTCACTCTCACTCTCACCTACACTCACTCTCACTCTCTCACTCACACTCGCACTCACACTCGCTCACCTTCACTTCATCACCACCATCACCTCTCTGGAATTCAATGCGTCTAGATCTCTAGACTTTCTGCTTACAGACCTCACACACACTGTTTGGGGTCTCTTGCCGGGATAATTTTGCTTTTCCTTCATTTTGTTTTCGTGATGTTTTCGATGTCGTTCATTCTGCTTTCATTTGCTTTCATTTTGCTCTCATTTTGTCTTCATTCTGCTTTCATTTGCTTTCATGTTGCAAAACATATGCAGTCATTTTTCTTCCTGACTTTATATTTTTCTTCCTGACTTTTTTCCTGTGCATTTTTGAGCTGAGTTTTATGTATCCGGAGCAGCATTATTATTTTGGAGCCAAAACCCAAAATTTTGGGCGAATTATGAATCACATTTGATGTGGGTTTTTGGAAATTTTGATTTTTTTTGATTCCGAACGATCTCACGAAGGCTAATCTAGCAAATGTAGATTGACCAGGGGTCGTTGGGCTGGGGTGCCGGAGTGTCGCGTGGGTTGTGTTTTTTTGTTGTTGTCATGAGGGAACCCTCGTATTGATCCAAATCCGTTAGCAAAAGTCCTTTCCGAATGGCCACTTTAACAGGCTTGCCACAATGGGTTTGTGGCCATATAGATCTCCAGCGTTGGAATCAGGTTGAGAGATTCGGTATGCGTGTGCCAAAAGAGACGGTACGTACAGGAATTGCAAGGGTCGTTTTTCTAGGGAACTAAGGAGCCGGCGGTATCGATATTCCCTATTGAACAGGCAACCAAGGAGATACACGGAACTCCCCAACCCCATACATTGCTGATGTTTTTGTAGCTTTGTCGATCTCTCTTCCCAATTCCAGTTCAGCTAAACTAAGGCCAGCACCTGAAAGCACGGTGAATCTACAATATTTTTTGTCTCCCATTAACTTATTGCCAAACATTTCGATGTCTAAGTCCAAATCCTATGAAAACCGTGCCCCAGTGATTTGTCCGGTTCCAAAACACCACGTGCCATAGGAAAAATTGGAAAAAAGGTCGTGTCAAAGCTTCCCGGTTCCACAATGCCAGGGTTCTCTTGCGCCCTTCTGAGCCCTTCTGACCGATCAAGCCTTCACCGCCCACCTTCGCGCGTGGGCTTTGGTCCGTCCTGAATCCGAGGTTCTCTCTCCTCTTCCATGGCTGCTTCTTCCAAGGCGCGCTCTCGGAACCCCCAAACCTATCCGTGCGTGGTAAAGAAACGCCTCTGGCGGGAATAGCGCTGAAGCTTGCAGCTTTGGCCGCATCGAGACAGAAACAGCAAGTGGTGCCCGAAGGACGTGGTCGATGCAACTAGTTGGGACACGAACAGATCCGAGGTCTTGAAATGAGTTTGATTCTATATGATTCTCATGTTTCGCAACTACACACCTCAGTTGCCATGTATCAAGTCTAGGTGATTCCTTGGCATCCACAAGCATTGGTTTCTACGTCAGTGCACGTTTCGCCCGGGTTTTGAGGCCTCCCGGACTTTGCGCGGCTCTGCTTCAAGGTGCCGGGCCGTTCCGAAGTCACGGTGAGAGTGGGAGATCGACCCATGGGAGGAGTCCAAAGGAAAACACAGGCGTTTTTAGTTCGAAACATCCAAGTCATTGTTTGACGTTACTTAGTTGTTTCACGTCTAAGAGTCTAAGATCTGTTGAGTCTGTTGGGAAGATCTGCTAAAATGATGGCGACTGACGGACTCTCCTGCAGAACTTACCTGTAGGACTCTTTGATGTGCTTAAGTTCTCTATATTGAGACCATCAGAACATGTCAGAACATATCAGAACTGTCTATTTTTGTTATCTTTTGCGTAGGTGTCCAGAGGTAAACCCTTGGTGAGGCCTCTTTCCCCCTTGTGTTTTTTTTTGCCCAAGGTCCGTTTGGCCGTTGCACATCCAAGATTTTAAGACACTCTGTCACTTTCAGAAAGCTATAAACCGGGCCAACGAACCGTTCTCTTTTCTTCCCATGGGTTCTGTGTTCTGTGTCCCCGCTTTCTGACACGCACACCGCACACGCGTTCCTTTTTTTTTCTTTTTTGCAAGGAGAACGTCATGTACGGTTTCTCGCTTCTCTTCTTCGTGGTGCTCGCTCCTTTGACGGCCCGGGCACCCGTTTTTTTGGTTTCCGGCGGTGGGGTCGCAGAGTGAGTAGATTGGCATCCAAGAGGTATCCCTTTGGAACTATACCCAGACACTCCATGTATGCCATATATGCCTACATTGACCCCTCAAACCACCCCAATGTAGGCATATATGACATACATGGAGTGTCTGGGATACATGGAATAGTATGGCATCGTGACTTCATCTTCCACATGTCCAGACTTTGGTGGTTTAGAAGAGTGGTTTTCTAAGTCCTAGACCGACAAAGTGGTGGGCTTCGCAGGAGCGCGTGCAACAAAATGCAAGTAAGAGATGTGTGGGGAAAGAACTTTCTATGTGCGCCCGCGATAGCCAATTCTTTAGTACCTTGGAAACCGCATTTTTTGGATGCAATTCCCCACCACCTTTGGTGCACCCCATTTCCACCAACTAAGTGAGATGAATGACGATTCTTGCTCAAATCCAGACCTACCAACAACCAAACTATCATCATAGCACACTGGCGCAAGCATTGGACCCCAAACCTTTGGCGAAACCTTTGTGACTTACCTGGAGCCCCACCAGTCCACCACTGTAGGTCGCGCCCGTGAGCGCCACTTGCTCGTGCCATGAGCCGCCGCCAGTTTCCGATCGTTTGCGCCGGTCGCAGGTGATGAACATGATTGTGGGTGTTCTAGTGGCACCTTGGCAGACACGGACTCGCGACACATGCGACCGAACCTAGTCCTCCTCTTTCCGAACATGAGAGTCGAGAGAACGAGACTTACCCATGCCCCCGGGTTTCAACCGCGCACGTGGTCGGATGGACCGAGTATGTGGGAGCGGCTTTCCGAGTGCTTCGTGGGACCGTGAAAATCGAATCGCCCCGTGTGGCCTTGACGCTCCAATGAGAAGAAGCGAAGTCCCCCTCCACTCTCGCCAATCGAAAAGCAGATGAAGAAATGGTTCAGTCTGCGTAGCGGCGCGCTGCGCTTCCAAGAAAGGTCCAAAAGTAGTGAAGGGGAGACTGGTGACTTCAGTGACCCCTGAAGAAAAACAGCTAGTGTATCTTGGTTCTCGGCACGGCCGTAGCATAAGAATACCAATGATACTTTTTCGTTGGTCAAGTCAAGGAAAATCCCTTTCAGGTCCCCTAGAGACCATTCTCCTTCTGGTCTTTGACTCGCAAGGTCTGGCAATTCTCGCTTTTCTCCCGTCACTGGTATAGACCCTGTCTGTTCCAGTCGTCAATGTAGGAAGTCGTGGGCATCGTGGCAGCTGCGGAGCAAGACGCTGCCACCAAGAAATCCCTCTTGGAGAGCTTGCGCGAGGCGCCCACAACGCCGACCGCCCACGGGACGCCGACGCGTCGTCGGACGTGACTGCTGGGCGTTGAGGGTGGGGAGGCGTGTAGCTGTGGGCTTTGAAAGTCTCCCGAGAGGTCCTGGCAGCTTTTTGTGGGATCAGATGTTCAACCGGTTCAACCTTGGCTTCCTTTGACCAAACCTGCTGATGACTGTAGGGGGAAACGACTGTGAGTCCAAAGCTAGTCCATTCTTCGTTCCGGAGGCTCTCAACAAGCTGGACTTGCACATGATCAACACCATTACCAAGGCAGTTCTGCACTCGCACTCTGCGAGTTTGTTGAGACGGTCGTTGGACAAACGAGCCCCCTCGCAGGAGTTATGGGTTGGGTCCTAAGTCCTAAGTCAAGGAATCATGGAAGTGCAAAGTAGGCCCCTTGAAAGAGCACATCTTGTATTTTTTTGTTATACAAAGGGGGAGGTTCCATTTCATTCCTTTTCCATGTGATTCTCCCTTCAGTTCCTTCTCCCAGTCTCCCAGTCCAGTCCACTCCGCAGAAGCATCAGGACTTTTGAGTGTCCTATTTGATGGTCGACTGCTTTTTTCAGGGTGAGTTGAGCACCTGATGAATACTCTTCTCCAAAATGGGATCGACAGACTCCTGTGACTTAATGGGTTTGGGTCCTGGTGGTGAAACATCCTGAAAAGCGGAGGCCCAAAAACGGCCGGCTGGAAAGGAGTACGTAGAAGCGCATCCACACGAATAGGATTTGGTAGTTCCAGACCGGTCCTCGCTTGGACATTCTTTATCCATGACCGTCCATGCATGTTACTTACATGGGTCAGTTGATGGAGTAAATGCATGAAACTCTTCCCCCCATGCATGGTTTGGGAATGATCAGCAGTACCAGGAATGTAACGATGCCAAAGAAACATCCATGTCCAGGCAATGCCCACCCTTCTGCAGTATACGATTGCAACGCTGCAGGATGCATGGGACAACTGAACTTGCGCCATGATGAACAGCATCCATGGTACACCGTGAGAGGACTGGTGGCCACCCTGATGGCCGACCGGAAAGAATGTTTCAAGCGTGACACCATGTAGAAGTGGATCTGCCCTGAAGATGACAATTTTCAGGAGCTCATCATGGACCTCAACGCACCCAGGTCGAAAGTCCAACAGGCCCCCCCAAAAAAGACGCGTCTCACCAACCTTTCCAATGGCTACATCAACCACTGTTGCCTTTTTTTCCAGAACTGCCGCTGACTCATGATACCTCTCGAAGTCATAATCCACTGCCGGGGGCAGAGAACCTTCTTCTGAGTCTGCCTTGGAACCTGTGGAAAACTCAAGCAACATGAGGAGCTCAATGCATGCAGGTCAGTATCACTCATCGGCATCTGATGCTCCAGGGTACTCTAGTGAGAATTGGTTGGTGTGAACTGGACACGCCATGAGCTTCAGCATGTGAACCATGGCAGTTTTCTGTATCACATCACCCCGCTTGCAAGCATTTTAGAGTCATCTATTCATCTAATCTTCAAGGCCTTGTGTGTATAATATATTATAATTAATTAACTAAAATATATATATATATATATATTCTATTCATCTTTCTGCCACTTGGTTTTCTTCCGATCATCCGAAGACTCCACTTCAGCAGGTCCACCCAACTCTCCCCGCTCCGTGGACCGCGTCGGGTCGCATCGAACACGGAGGTCGCCGCGTCGCGTCCGTCGGTCGGCGCGTCCGTCGCGCGGTCGGCGCGTCGAACGCGGCCAGGCGGAGTTCGGAAAGGTGGTGAACCGACCGGACATCGTGAGCATCTTCTTGGAGGCCGCCCGGGGCAGGAAGAACAACCCTAAACCCTTAGGGGAACCCGTTCGGGTTCGGTTCGGTCCGGAACCAGACCGGCTGAAGGGCTCGGAGAAAGGCTCTTAAGGATGGGATCCCTTTATAGGTCGACCATGCACGCTAGTCACAGCCCTCGTGGTTAAGGTCCCTCTCCCTGTGGTTTAATGCTCGTCTCCATTTTACAGAGTTGGGGACAATGCCCAAACACAGTACTCACCGAGGTCGTTCGGACGTCTTTGTGTTCATTCCCTGGACCGGTAGGGGATGTGTCCCCTTTTTCGAGGAGTCAAACTAGCCATGTTTTCGAGGCTCAAGGTCGTTTCGGTGTGATCCTTAAGATGAATACGATCATGAATACTTGACAAACTGGTTGTGAGGCAGGGTGGCAATGTCCCATTGCCGGGGTCCGTGGTCTGTGTTTTGTCGCGTGTCACAAGCAGAGACCACTGCACCACGGTGGTCGTCCAAGAAAAACATCATAAGATGACCCTGCTTCCAGTGTTGTTCGGCCCCGTAGTCATCCCCCCCTCAACTTGCCCTTCCACTGGTAGTCACCAAGAAAAACACTGCTCATATGACTCATATGACCCTAGGCCCAGAGGGTTCAGCTTGTTGAACCTTCTCTATTGACTCTGCATTCAGCTCTCCACTGATGTCGCCGGCAGTTGGTTTGGGCAGTCAGATGGTTCCGCCACCCTGCCAGGTGAATGCAAGGTTTGTCTGAATAAGTGGGTTGTATACTTCAGCTCTTTCATCCTTCATAAATCTATATAAATCTCATCAAGTAGTTCATGTGAAGGCCGCACACATAGATGTACCATTAACATCAATATGCCTGATGTACTTCATCTGTGGTTCATGTCACACCACTTGTTTTTCCACACCCCGTTTCTGTTCGGTTCAGGAGACGGTCCAATCCGCCGTGGAGGAACACGCCCAGGAAGATTCTACATGCTCTTAGGCATGTTATTTTTCTATATGTTTCTTAAACATTTTTTTTTCAACCCAAGATGTCAGTTCCACTTCTGAACCAAAATGACCAGCCCCTAAGAGAGGAGGTCCCCTTCCAAGAACCAATCAATAGACATCTTCCCCGAAATGCTGCCCGCTTCTGCGGAAGTTTGGAGCTGTGAGGATTTTGTGTGTATTGTCAGAACCTCCCTATGCTCAGAAGCAAGTTTCCAGAGATAACCCGGAAAAACTTTGTGCGTTGCGTAACCAGGATTGCGCAACGTCCTGTCTGATCTGAGATTCTTCGGAGAACCCACAACCTCGCTGACAAAGCCAATAAGGCGGGCATTGACATCGTCGCACTGCTACGAGATCCAGACTCTTGGACTGCGCACGTGGGTGACACGCACCGCACATCACCCAAGTGGAGAGTCTTCGTTTTGGTTTTGGTGAGCAGCACACTTGTTGACTTGAGAAGGCGCGTTTCCTTTTTGGTTTGGTCGCGTGGGCCTGGGAAGCTGATCAGCTATGTGCCCTCAACTCTTTCTGTTAGGCTTGCTGTCAAGCAAGCAGCTACCTGCGCTGCAGGTACTGAGATGTTGTTGGATGGGCAATGACTGCACCTTAAGAGTTCACGAAACAACTCAAGCATGGGTCTGTGAAGCCCAACCGCACTCTGCGAAGCCCCACGTGGCTGGCCTCACAGCCTCGGTCGTCACGCAAGAAACACCCTAGGCTCCACGCGGTGTCACCGCGCGGTGTGTTCCACCAGGCTGGCAGGTTAGATCCCTTTCAGCCCTCGAAGAATTGGCAGGTGAACATCTCCTGTGTCAGGGGAAGCAACACACGCATAGGATCTGGAGAAGGGGTCCCAGAACGGGCCAGACACGAAGAAGGAGTGTTCTTTTTTGAAGGATTCCAGAAGGGGCCGTTTGATCTATTATTTTCCAGCTGGTTCCAGCCGCCGATGCTGATGAGGACATTGTCTTCGCTGGGGATAGTGACATGAACCTGGAGGAGTTTTTGGAGGAGAAGCGAATGAGTCGATCGACTCTCTGGGGGTTCTTGCTTGGTTTTCTTGGGTATACCCAGGAGGAGTGGACAACTTGCCCAACGTTTTATTTTCGGAAACTGGGTGCACTCTACGAACATCCAACAGGCGGAACATGGTGAGGCTTTGTTTTCCAAGGAAACCGAGGAAGTCAGAGAAAGTCTTAAGTGCATTTTTTTTGGTGAATGAGAATGTGGATTGGACAATGTTTGTTGTTGCGGTGATCATTTATGATTGGACCATTGTCACCTGCGCCGCCTCCACCTAGAAGTTCCAACGGCTGGACAGAAGCCATTTTAGAGAAGTTCATCATCTTCCAAGGCAACAGGATGTGGGTTTCTTCCAAGATGAAACAAATGGATGTTTCCCCAAAGAACATCAAACAAGCACTTGTTAGCGAGGGGTTCTGGAACCAACCGGAGTGTGGTCCATGCTACACCGATTCCAGCATAATGTTCTCACTGAGTTTGTGGCACTTCCATGCCACACGAATGTGTTGGAAGCAGAGGCGTACTTGAACCGATGTACTTTGAACCAGAAGTCTACACCTGTTTCAAAGGTAATTACATGGCACAATCTCGGTGGAGCGCACCATCAATTCCACCCAAGAGGTCGCTTTCAGGCCAAAGCCAAAAGGTGCTATTTGTTAACATGATCCTCAACTTGTGGACACGTCCTTTACTTTCCCTTTTTGCTTTCCGTCATTCCACCTTTTCTACTCAACAGAGGTTCATTGCTACGCCGGGCAGGCAACAGATATGCATCAGTGCTCAGACATAATTCTGCGTGTCAAAAACACTCACTATGACTATCACACACGAAATGACGATAAATAAAGCCTGTCCCTTGGTGTCTTCGGTGCGTTTTGACGTGGCTTTCGGGGGGGGCGTCTTTTCGTACACCCCGAAACCCGAAAACGCCTGGTTTTGGTCATTCGGGAGAACGGGGTTGGTATCCATTCTGCTTTTGGTGCCTGCATTAGTAATCGACTGGATACCACCTTCCTTGTCGGGCATTTGGCACAAGTTGGATCCTGGATGTTTGTTTTTGGGGGGGCTTTTCCGTCATTAACCGTCACTGGTCACTATTGGACTGAACTCTTTGGTCGGCCAAGAACCCAGGATGCTTGTCCTAACAACTATAAGATACTATAAGTACGTACATCTTCGTACTGTTGTCGTTTCGCAAACAAAGGCGAGCAGACTCTGCAGCCAGGAGATTATCACTTTGCGTGGGGCCAATGTGACCTGGACTACGAAAAGGGTCGGTGTTGTTGAATCGCAATGGAATCTCTTCCACATATTTCTGCCAAAGAACTCTTCAACGCCTCAAAGACTCAAGCTGTTGATAAGGTGAGCAAAAAGATGGGCAGTCGTGTGATTCCACAATCTGTACATGTTGATGAGAAGAGGTCCCAAGTCACAGGGAACAGATGGTTCTCTATATGATATATATATATACCTAGAACCTGAGTGACCTCTATTTTGGACCACCAACCACTGAAAATATGGTCTTTTCCTATCAAGACAGAGGTCAAATGGGTTCTAGGTATATATATACACATATCCGATCTGGGCAAGATCCGATCTGTGCAACTGCAACAGTGTGGTAAAGGATGGCTCAACACAAAAGACCCACCAGATCCAGATCTAGGAGGGTGGTCCCATCGGATCAATGACACAGTCACTTAAGAGTTGCTGAGAGTCGCTTCCCCTACTTTTTAAGGACACGACCCAGATGCTCAGGAAGACAGGGCCATCCATCTGGGTTCAAGACCTTGCTTCGACCTGAAATCGAACAAAAAGAAACAGGCCTCAGAAACTCTCCCCTGACCCAGTGCGGCTGCAAACCGCACCCGATCCCTTAAGAAGGCGGCCACCGGTTCGGGCGCTGACCGCCGCTTGAGGTCGCCACTGTGAAGGATCTGGGACAGCTGAAGGTACAGACACTTGACAAGACATGACTGTGGGTGGCTGGCACCCGTTTGGCCCGGAACTCACCGTAGGTTGACCTCCACAGTAGCCTATTCGGAAAAACCAGTCGGTGCCCCGCTACGCCCTAGCCCATAGCCACATGGGGCATCTCTGACACCGGGGTTCCTTGGATGACCTATAGCCACCTGGCAAGAGGTAAAAGGACGGGCGATGAAAAACAGCACCGGAGGTTCCTCGGATGTACCATACCGAAGAGGTGTTCAAAGGTGAATGAAGACCGGGTCCTGCCTTCAGACTGGCGACCGAGACATTGACATGACGAAGGGCAGTTTGCCAGAAAAAACCTTGGCTTTTCGATCCACACGACGACAGACATGTGGCGTGAGTGGTGGTGCATGCCGGACGGGACATTGGTGAATGATCGCGAGGCAAAAGCAGGTCCAAAAAAAAAGGGAGGACGAGGAAGCCCATGTGGTTGTATGACCACAACCACGGTCAACAAGCGTGGGGGCCTGTGAGGGTCCGTTCTTTCTTTTCCAACCTAGTAGCTTCTTGTTCCGTTCGTAGCGATGGCCTCCAACATCCTCCAACCTACTTGTGATGGCCTCCACCTAATAGCGTAATTAGGTGCCCTTGCCGTGGCCTCAGCATCGTTCATGCCATCCTGTTCGACATATCAAACACAAGATCAGATGGTACCAGCGGGGACGCCCAATCTGATTGGCCATCCAACCAAGAACACCTTCGTTGGTTGTTTGGAATGCTTCTCTTCTCTTCATACCTGGATCTTCCAACAAAAAAGGCAGCATGTCTATACCTCTGAGACCTGTTTTTTATAGATTAAGTTCGGCAACTTTGCACAGCCGGGATCTTCGATATCGAGGATGGCTCACCTTCCAAACCCTGGAGGGACACGCAGCGGCTTTTGGGCGATCGGTCATCCCTTCGGCTTCGGTGGGTGCGACGTGTTTCGAGGATTCTACGGGAATTGAAGCAACGGCGCGGCAATCGCTGGTGAGCTGGGAGCTGGGAGCGGAGCTGCTTTCGCGTTTCCCCTTGCTGAAGCTGAAGAGTTTCTCAGCTTGAAAGTGAGGTTTTCAGGATGATGTGGTTCGAGACTGAGAAAGTCGACTTGACACAGACCACAGATGATCAAGGAAGAGTGATGCAAACATGATAGAAGTGGATGAAGAACGATTAACCAAAGGTGTGGCTTTGCACGTGAAGAAGCTCAGCTTCGCCCACTCATCCGACTCCGAAGAATCTTTAAGAGCTTTAGGAGCCGACCGTCTATAAAGAGGGTTCCGGCTTTCGAAGAAGCGCCTTCTCAAGGGTGTGGAAGAGCATTTCCAGGAACAACACCTCTGAATTGTTCAGCTTTCGCCAAACTTTGACGAGGCATGACGTTTGACAAGACAGATGATTCATGATGATTCATTTATTTTTTTGGGATAAATCATGTCCAGTTCGAACACAGCTGAGATCTGGGTCTCCAGATTTGATTCAGACGCTGCCTTAAAACGATACCTGCCTCAAAAACGGCCACCATCTGGGGCCCCCCTTCGGTCCGGAGACGTTGGTCCGTGGTCTTTTTGGCGACCGGTCGCACCGACGTTAGCATGGGAGCGACGTTAGCATGCAAAACACCGGTCCACCTGCGAACAAACACCGTTCTTTTTTTGTTTTAGCCGTTTTGGTCGCCCGGTCAGTGAAACACTATGAACAAACAGCTGTGCGGTGATCCATCAGTTTTTAGCGTCCACACCGTTTTTGTTGCTCTTCATTTTGCACTGTCGGGCGACACTCGGAGGTGTTCGTCCTCGTTTTCGGTACCGGGCGGACGACCTCGGAGCTTAGCCACGCCGCCGGAGAACATGACGACTCACGGCAAGGGTGGCAGCATGTGGCAGCCCAGGCAAAACACATTTCGACACAGACACATCTGACATTTAAGACCGAGTCTCCCAAGATCTTTTGTTAGAGGTCCATTGAAGTCCTCTGGGTGCGAGTCTCGGCTCGCAAGTCTTTCACCGGGTCTCGCTTCGCATGTTGCCGTTGAGTAGGGCGCCCCTATACCCTCCAATGGGCACCCCTTTGGAACTCCTGGTGTGCTACTCATAATCATCACCTATTTACTATTTTTCGAGGCCCCTACTACCCCTACCCTCTTTTGCCTGGTGATCCCATTTGCACTCCTCACTTCCACAACCCTTTGGCGCCCAAGCAACCTATGACGCCATGTCTCGTCCCGTTTGCGAAGCAACGAGACGAGACTCGGCCTCGAACGTCCATCTCCGTCCAAAGCTGTCGACGCTGCGCCGAGCGCACTGGCCAAAAGCATGCGATGTGAGTGACGTTGCTCGTGGGTGAGTGGCAAGAACTCGGGTTCTTTTTTTTTCCGAGTAAACCGTAAACCAGAAATTCTAGTCAGTAAAAGAGGATTTTTGGGGAAAGAGCTTCACCAACCATCATCATCCATTGTTACTGATAACGGGACATAATACCCAATGGACACCCCAATTCTGAGGTCATCCCAAATCTGAGTGAATCCAAATTGAAAGAGTTCACATTTCTGGTTGGGCAGAAGTGAAGCCCAGGCCGCGGGCGCCTCTACTTGGTTTTGGGACCTGCCCACTTAGTGGAAGTTCAGTGGCATGCAGATTTCCTGTTGTCCACCGAACCCGTTCACCTCTACCATCAAGACCATGACGTTTGTTTGTTTTGTGCATTTTACAAAACAATCTGTATTGTGGACTCTTAGAATTTTGACAATCGATTACATTTTTGTACCTGCCAGGAAATGGACGACAAATGACTACAAAATTCTTTTCGTGGGTGGGTTTCCTTTTTAAATCATCCGATCTCGGAATCATGGCCTTCCTAGTACTTGTGGATTGCAAGCATTCTTTTCTTGGGAGATCGATTCAATTATGAACACATGGCAAAACAATTCCAAATATATAAAGACCGCTTGGTGAGGAGCGTCCACACTTAAAGGATCTCGAGATTAGGCGTGATTCACCATGGAATTCCGGCGTGATTCACCATGGAATTGCGAATCTTAAGATCTTAAAACCTGAAGGAATCTTCCAGCACCACCCAGTTCGGGTGGTTTATAGACCCCCCTGAAGATGTATTTTCCATCTAATGCTGCAAACACCCGAAATGGGTGGTCCTGGTTAAGGGCGTCGAGGCGTCGAACCGAATGGCTGCCATGTCCCTGAACCCATCTCCCCGAACGACCGAAAGGGCCAAGGTTCTCCGGAAACCGATCCTCGCCGTGGGGACACGGGCCTCCAACGGAAGCTTGCACAAATACGCACACACACACACACTGATAGCAGTGAAATGCAGCATGTTTTGAAGTTCCTGCTAAGCAAGTGTTTTAAACGTCTCAAGCTGGGATATGTTGGATCCAAATCATGGAGGTACCCAAACAGATTAGAGTGCCTTCCAATACATGTTGAGAGGGGATTAACGTTTGGGTTGAGTTGGCAGGATGAATCAACATCATGTAGTAGATAACAAGGTTATTCCATTAAAAACATACACTGTACATATATATATATAGTACATTACACCCAAGAATCCTAATAAACCACAATATTTTAACAATGTAATCCAAAGGTCTTGCCAAACGGGTGGCTTTTGCTAAAGAAGCAACCATGCAGTAGGGTGTGGTCTATGAAGCACCCCAACACTTATAGTTTCGGGCTTAGTTCCTTCTGCTTCCTCTCAACTGGACCTTGATCCTGCCAGTCATATGCTTGTTTCAAAGATTAAGCTATGCATACAGGCCTCGGTATATAAGCATTGGCACGGCAAAGCTGCGAATGGCTTCTTCAAGAAGTGATATTATTGTTTTTAATGGTCGCTGCTACATGGATAGCTGTGGTAATTCATATATAGAACCAATACACGAGCCCAAATCCAACTTTGCAGAAGTGTACAGAACCAACCCAGGCTCCGCCTGGTCATGTGGTGATTCGTGGTAACTCGAACAGTCGCGCAGCTGCTTTGCCGTCATTCCAGTTTCTGACCTGCCAGGAAGAGGTGTCTCTCGCAGATTGCCAGCAGCTTCAGGAAGCGGCTCTGACCAGGGCCAGTTTGGTGGGGTGGTATGTTTTTTCTCCTAACAGTGTGAGTGTGGTCACATGAGGGGTTCATATGGTAGCAGTTAAGGCCTGGTTTTGATCGAGCCGGCTAGTTCGCTGCATCTAGTACTATGGGTTCAGAAATAGATGGCACACACACCCCCAGATGTCGTTTAGATGGCCACAGAAACAATCTTTGTGGTCCTTTTGGGGAGTGCTATTTGCTCTCAATCCGCTATTGATAAGTAGTAGTCTATGATGACTCGTGTAGGGTGGCCCTTTGGTGGCCCCTTCAAAACTGCAGCAGTTCCTGCTCCATAAATTCAATTTCTGAATGCCTTGGCCTTTCTTGGGGGGATGAACGTCTTTGAAAGTCGCTTTTGGTTTGGGTGAGGATGACATCTCTTGTTTGACAATTTTCATTCATAGACGACAAAATGTGACAGTATGTGACAGTGCTTGATTCGATTTTAGACTTCCCATGCAGAAGCTGGGCTTGGCCATGCCTGCGCCTGGGCCCCTGGGCCCCTGGGATGCGTGGACGGCGCGTGTTGGCACCAGGAAGAGGAGAAGCGGAGAGAAGATGCCTTCCAGGGAGGCGTGACGCATCTCATCTCTGCCCAGCAACGTGTCCACAGGCGCGTGAGCGTCGCACGTGGATGTGGACGGATGTGGGGGTGAGGGTGGGATGGGTGGGACATGGTGGGATGGGTGGGACATGGCGATCTTTGGTCAGAAACGTGAGGCAAATCCTCCAAATCTGCATGCCTGACTGTAGCAGCCAATAAGTCAGGTATGTAACATCAAGCATGGTCAGGGTGTCAGAGACTGTGGTGGTCCTAAGGTAGCGAACTGGTTGAGGGAAGGTTTTCTTGATCAACAACTGCTTGACACCAGACCATGTGCGATTGTGGAGCCGTGGAGAATCGAGCACAAGCGGAGAGGATACCAGACATGGCTGTGGGGAACTAGGCACCAGGATACTCTTGGTTGACCTACCTGGTGTTCTTGGCGCTCCAGGTTGGCGCTACCCATCCCCACATGGGTTCACACAGTCTACACATGTCTACCTATAGAGCCTGAGTGATCTCTGTTTTGATAGGAAAAGACATGAAACGACCACCTTTTGGATAGTTGATCCTCCAAAATAGAGGTCACTCAGGCTCTATAGGTATATACATGGCTTGCGACCTCCCGGGGGAGTTCACTCCCGCTTCACCGAAGTCCGCCACCGTTCCGAGCGGATCATCCGGAAACGTCCTGCGGCGCTGGGCCGAAACCGTTCGACGACAGAAACAGTTCCTTCGGTTTGGAACGGGGTCATCGTTCGAAAGGGGTCGTCACATGGTTCTTCAGGACGATTCAAGCTGTTGAATCAATGATGGGCCCGGAATCCACTATAGACAAACACCGTTGACAGCGAGAGAAGCCCACGGCGCCTGTGCAGAATGGTGAACTGAACGAGGGGCACATCAATTTCAGTCCGAGTTGGACCAGTGAACTTGTCCAGCAATGGTTCAGTCAGAATTGATGAAACAAATTCTACTTGGATGAAGCAAAGAACTGCGTTCCGCACAAGCCAGTTTTTCAAAGCTCCCAACTTGTTTTGGGACATCGAGCGGCCAATGTGTGCCACCTCCATCCACCTCCACTTTTTTGATTTTTTCCAGCCGCCCAAGAGCGGCCAATTCTCCCAGCCGACCCATCCCCTATCAGGCTGCGGCTGCGGCTACCGGGCGAGGAGGGCGACCGGAGGAGCGACCCGAGCGACCTGAGCGACCCGAGGGCACAGCGGCTCTGCCGTTGAAAAAATCATCCAACAGGTCCGACCCAGGAAAAGGGGATAACGGGATAACCTTTAATATCCTTCGATCAATCAAAGCTTCAACCTTTGTCGGGGATTGGGGACACCATGTGACACCCGTCCAATCAAGAACAGGAAGACAAACGCTATAACCGTCTAGTCAAATCTCCCAGGGAAACCACACAGGCATACAGTACTCTGGATGTTCTCGTGAAGGACCAGATTTAGCTTGCTCCACCGGTACTGGCAGGGATGGATTGGCGTGGTCCCTCAAGAAAACCCGACACATGTATGGAGAAACACCATGACTTTGGAGCACCAAATGCTGGTCCCTCCATCCGTCTACTTCCCAGATCTTCCCAGCTCTCAGCTGCTCACTCCGTCCCAGTCCTCCGGTCGTGCGTCCACGGCCGTCTCCATGCCCCCGAAATTCAGCGACTCGAAGGGCGAAAAGAGATCCCATATTCATGGTGGGTTGACTTGAGGGATTGAAGCCAAGACAGTCTTGGGAATTTGAGCCAAGAGCTCTAAGAGAGCGGTTTGTAATTTGAAGCAGAAGGGCCTCACTGTTGGCCTCTGGCAGCAGGAGCTGCTTAAGGCCGAAAAGGATGTGTTTAACGGCAGCCAACGGCGCTCCATCCATGGTATCCACGTTCTCCTAAAAATGTCCCCTACAATGTGGTCCAAAACCATGAACCCCCTTCGATTTCTAACATGGGAGTCCATGCTTAGAAGTACTTCGATTTTGGGCCACTTTGGTGTGAATATATAATAACTATGGCTACATTTATAACATTTCACATCCGTGGCCATCCCTTGTGCTTTCCCAATAGAACCGGCAGCGACCGGCAGGGGCTTGACGCTGCTGGTGGAGGAGCTGCATCAACGACTGCAGGTGCTTGAGACTGCCAGCCAGAGGCAAGGAGTGTGCTCGACGAAGGTCAAGACTCAAAGGGAGCCAGGATCTTCGGTGTGGGCGAAGATCGCCTATATAACTATATGCTTACGAAAAGGAGGCCCAAAATAGACAAATCCCGTCTTTAAAATGTTGCCAACATAGACTCCAGATAGCAAAGTAGAATCCAATGCCACCAAAAGGAGTTCGGGTTTCCAGTAAGATGTTTCGATGGTTCAATTCTAACCGAAAAGGGCCTTTGTTAATGTTGCAATGTTTTTGCCGTTGAAAACTAACATCCAAGCTCCAAAACTCACACGACCATGCACATTTGGCAGCATGTATGATGTGTTAGAAACCATGTCCATCCTCTTGGGAACCTCTGGACCCCCAGAACACCCATGGGATTTGCTGTGAAAGGGCCACCGCTTTGAAATGCCATGCACCCAGAAATCGGCGAGGCCTTCACATTGAGGGTTAGAGAAATCTAGGCTTTGAGAGGTGACCATCACGCTCGGAATCGAGGCGCGCCTCAGCACGATTCCGACCATCACCCCACATCCGAGAAGCTCTATTAGTCTAATGTTTTCCTTTTTGGCTAACCTCCTCTTTGGGCATCTTTGGGCTGGTTTTAGAGATCAACCGGCAGACATAGTCAGCATAGATGTGTCACCTTGTGGTGAGACAACACGGTTCGCGGCGAGAGACGATGGGACTGGCCATTTGAATTTGACCTCCCGATTAGTTCGGGTTGGTTGATTGAACTGTTGTTTCTTTTGTGTTGGGGGGGCTTGGACATAACTATTCGGTGGTGGTTATCCCTTACATATTCGGACATGACAACAGTTTTTTCAGGTGATCGAACTACATTTGGGTCGAACCAACTAGGTCCAAATACTCTTTTGGACCTTGTTGTGAATTCTTGTGACCATCCAAGATAGTGGTTTAGAGTTTCGATAAACAGACGACAATCACACATAGCAACTCATGATCCATAACCAGCAAGCTGTAAACTTAATTGTTGCGCAAGTGAACAAGAACTCAAGAACTGAAACGCTTCGATGTCTTTTTCCAAGCGATCTTCCGACAAAATTGGACATAACGGTCCTCCCATTCGGGGGGGAGGTCTCCCGTCTCTAGCGAAGGGGTTTGGTTCAGAGTGTTTTTGTGCAGGTATGGCGAACGCCTGAAGAAGCATCTCGAGCAGCTCAAAGGTAGGGCGGGCGCACCGGATTCCGGTTCATCAGGATTTCTAAGCGCTTGCCCCATGAATCTGTTCTTTTGGGCAACGGCCAGACTGCCACCCAAGACTGCGACATCGAAAAGGGGGTGGTGGTGGTTCCGTGACATCCAAAAGCCAACGTGGGTGATCAGGTTCTGAGTATGGTACAATATCCGGGGCGTGAAAATTCTAGAGGGTCACGTGAGAGGTACCACAGATACACGGATACTCAGAGACAGATCAAAAACCAAGCCAGCCCCTTCAAACGGGAACGTTTTTTTTGTTTTACTTTTCTTTGGACGGTATTCCGAGGAATCTCGCTTCATGCAACCTGTTTTGAATCGGGACCGCCGAAAAGGTGGTGTTCTGGGCCAGCCACTCCATCCACTCCGATCTGCCCCAGGTGAAAGGTGCAAAAACTCGAATGTCGCCGTGCGAGGAGCTCAGTGAAAGTGTTTTCAGTTGTTGAATTCCAATTCTTTCGGAGTGGAAGTGAGCTAGATATACTTGTTCAAGATGTGTTTCTATATGGGGAGGTGCGCCATAGTACGCCAGCCAGCCATTTTTGGTCTCGATTTTTTGCTGGGAAAACATGAGGGAATATGCTGAAAAGGAGGGCCATCGAAGATGGGGAAAGAGCTTTTTTGAACCACTGTCATGGTAATTAATTGGGGGTTCAATTTATACCTGTCAGTGGGTTTTAACACTTTGTGACAGAATTAAACTTTCAGATGGAGAACTTGTTTCCAGCCCATTCAATGGCCACTTGGAGCTGCCAATACTGAAAAGGAAACTGCAATTGCAAGGTCATACAAAGGTCCAATCGTTTCAAAGCAGACTTTCAAGGAACATCCCCAGACGCAAAAGCGTTGGCACAGGGGTACCGGCCCGGGGTACGGCCAAGCTCTCCTTCACCTCACCAAGCGAACCACCTGCGAACCACCTGCCAGACCGGACCGCGGCCCCAAGAAAGACCCCATCCATCCCAAAACATCCCGCTCCCTTCCCACCAGACTGGGGCGTTGCATCATTCTCAGGGATGACCTGGGCAAAGAGGTCCTCAGCGCTGAGAAGAGGCCTTCAGCCCGCCCGAAGCCGGTAAGCCCGGTTGGTGTTCTTCTCACCGCTTAGCTGACGCGAAGCGTTCGGGCACCCTGCTGCGAAGCGGTGTAGAAACAGAAAGGGTCCAAAGCCTTTCTGAAGACTCTTCAAAAAATCGACAGGAGGACAACCTGCAGGGTTTCCGCTGGGTCTTTGAGCTGAGCTACTTTGCAGTAGATCCCGTTCAACATCAGTAAATTTCGATTCAGATGTCCAACGTTTTTTTTGTGTATCCTGTAGCCACTTCGTGCTCCCTGTTTGGAGGGATGCTTCTTGAAACAACCAAACATGTCGATTAAGGATGATCCAACTGTCTGTTTACACTTCGTTGGGGATAGGGTCCCATCCGGTCCTGGTACTGGGTATAAGTTGGGTATACCTTGGAAGCCTTGGATTCTTTAAGACGATTCCCCAGGTCGGGTCAACCACCCCAAGACCATGGATTGCTGGGTCATAGTCAGTCAACACCCAATTGGTTTAGTATTGGGGGCTCGAGCTGGGCTTGATTCACAGGGGGGTGGTTCCTTAATCCTGTGTCCACATGAACCATTCCCTAGGGCTCCAATCATGTCCTCAGAAGGTGGTTAGACCCCCCTGGCACCCACCCCAAGCATCTTCTCAGGAGGTGGTTGGAGCCCTAGGGATTGGTCAGTCTTTTCGTACTTATTTTCCCTTTGCCACCCACTGGTCTTGGCAGATCGGTGGGACGGGACGATGTCCCAGACGCTTTCCGGCGGAGGAGACGAGGTGGGCGAGACGCTCTCCCGTTCTCCTGGCAGTTTTTTACATGAGCCTAACAATGGGACTGGAATATTTGCTTAGCTTGGGGTGATTTCAAGATGCTTTGAGAGTCAATGTAGGCAAATGTATTCCATACATGATCATACACTGGGTCAGTCTACTAATCTAGAGTCTCATCCCATAAGCCCTTGAGATAGCCTTGCTGCAGCACCCATCCATTGTCCGTTGTCCTTATCCAATTCTGAGTCTGGCCGACCCCGCCCACAAAGAGGTGTTTATCATGGTGTACTAAGCCTCGTTCCTCTTTTTTCCAGACCAGTTCTTCTGCCCCTTTTCCCAGCTCTTCGGCCCCATGAGATGGGCTTGAAAGCAAACATGAAGCTTCTGCACTCACGTGGTGACGGTTTTCCTTTTGCACGACCACGGACCGCGACATCGCTGGCCATTGGGACCCGGTGGAAAACCGGGAAAAAACGCCACGCGAGAAAGCACGGTGCAGGCGTGCTGCCACCCTGAAGGCACTCACCAGGGATGCTCGGCCCAGACCAGGGAAAAAGGGGGTTGAAAACAGGTTGCGTGAGACTTCTCAGGAGTCGGTGGGATCGTTGGGGGGGAGTGGTTCGGGTTTTGAAGCGCCCAAAAAGGGGGTCACCTTTGCCAGTGGCTTCTGGCTTCGGGCTTTCGGATGGTTCAGATGGTTCGGAGGCGCCCAACGGCCCGTTCAACGAGAACCGCCAGGTCCGGTGGTGTCCACGGGGACCGCGTCGCGTCCGGGGGAACGGCCCCAGGAAGTGCAGCAACGCACGGCGGAATACGAGGACACGAGGTGAGGGATGGCGGGGCCCGAAGTGCTGGCCCAGTGGCTCTGGTGGTTTTGGTGGTTTTGGGCGCGTCCGCTGGTGGTCCTTGAGGAACTCCCGAGCTTCGGAGCGTCTTTTGTGACAGGGAGGGTGAATCTACGGCTTGGGAGAGAGGAGCTTCGTTTTTTTAAATTCTGCCTCCATGTTCGGCTCAGAGGTTCGCCACACGGGTCCGTCTTGCCGTAGAAAGTAGACGAAGACTTTTAGAACATGGAGGTTGGAGCCAAACACCGGCGGAGGATCTCTTCCTTAATCCTTAGTAAGATTTGGGCCAGATGAGCACGTCACGCCTGCAACTACCTACGCCTACAATGAGCCAACCATCGTGAACCGGTCTCGTTACGCCTGAGCCCGGTCTCTCCATCACCGTCTCGTTCGGCCTGTTGGACCTGAGTCCACACGGCGGATGCCCCCCTCCAACAGGTCTCCTTTCGAGGGTTGTAAGGCCTAAGATGTCTCAATTGCTGACCTGTTGGAGGATGCTGGTATATATGATATGCTAAGATGATCTAAGATGCAATGTGACTTTTATTTCACCAATTGGACCACGTCTTCTGTTTTCTTCAGATGATTTGGATGGTCCACCTACTTCACCACTCCTATCTTCTTGCCAGGTCCCGTTTCCACAGTTCTTCCACCGAAACGGATGGATTCTGCCCCGTGAGCCAGGCTTGAGCAGCAGACACCCAAGGTGGATGACGCCCGGGGACTCATTCACATGTGGCTCTGCATTCGAAGATCCAGGGAGACATATACCCATGGACAATACGTCTTTAAAATCATATACCGATAGTATACCGATATGCCCATCGACACCTTATGTTTGCAATATGTATGTATAATATAATATATATAGTATATATAATATATATAATATACACACATGAGTGCATGTGTATACTTTTTCAGAGGGAGACACCCGTTTGACTATACCTGGAAGAATGGAAATAGACCAACACTGACTGGACCCCGAATCACACACACACACATTCAAAACCTGGTTTTTCCCACAGAACATGAGCAGAAGGTCAACCTAGGGAGGCCAACCTACCAGGGCTTGCCACATGCCATATGGGAATGTGTTTGAATGGGGAGACATCAGAGACATCCTGGCCCTGGCTGGGTAGACTGGTCTATATTCCAGGGGGTCGGCACGCCGGCGGTCGGTCTACACAGGGGTCCGGCGTATTTGACGCGGATCCTGGCCCGGTCGACCTGGGTGTGCATGACGAAGAGGGAGACCCCGGGTTGGTGTGATCCCCCCCCGGAAAAAAACTACTCTCCGACTCACAGAGGTTTTCCACTTCCAGGTTAGTCGGAGGGTGGTATTTTGGTATTTTGGTGTTGTTCCGGTCGGTTTGGGTGTGTATGAAGAAGAGGGAGATCCACAGGTTCACCCTGCAGTTTGAAGGATACGTCTTGGGGGGCATTTTGTTCGTTGCCAGAGTTCGTTTTTGAACATCACATCTTCGACTCAATACCCCTTGGCTCAGAAGATGAGATCTTACTGAGTTTATGAAGTGATACCCCCCACTTACTGAGTTTGTATCTTCTGATACCCCCTTTTCTCTGATCATCTTACTGAGTCTATTAAGTGTTTGATCATCAAAATAGCTCAGTAAGGTTGGTGGTTTGAGAAAACATAGATTTGTGTTTGCAAGAGATTGACCCTTCTGGTCGGCTAGGGCTGGGTTAAAGCAGGTAAGATTGCCTGAAAAACCCAGGAATCTGTGGCCGCCCGAAAGCACACACCCAACGTGAGCGGGTGCAACCCAACCAATCCTTGAGGCTTTAAGAAAGAGCAAAGGAGAAAGTACCCAATCAACAAAAGAGAACCCCACCAAACGGACTATATAAAACAAAGCATCTTCTTTTGCATCATGAGCTAGAGCCTCATGATAAATATATATATATATAGTTTCTATAGCCTCTGAGCATATGTCCAACGATTCAGCCGTTTGGACCAGGAAGTCATCAGCGAGCTCTATCCCGAGAACGATGCGGACGAGGCGTCGACGTGCAACGGCGAACGTCGTGTCGACGCATCGGAGTTCGGATGCCGAACTTCCAGGAGTTTCGACTCAGGGATGCCAAAGGGGTGTGAGGGGTGTTTGGTTGCCGGAACCCACAAGGGCTGCTTCAATGCTTGATTTGGCCCGAAAACACTTCTGAGCGGCCGGGCTGGAAGTTGTTCGGCAGTGGAAGGAGATGCTGTTTCTGGATCTCTTCTCTAACATCTGATGCGTGTCACCTGTGTTGACTTCTCCCATGAAGAATCCAATCCAACAAAAGCTGCGCACCCTTTGGTGGAGAACCTCCAATTCTAGGAGAACGTGAAAGAGGTGTCTATAAATAACCTCTTAGATCCTCTTAGTGGTTAAGGAGTGTCCAATACCACCTGTTGGAAGGTCCTGGTACATGGCCTTTGAATATTGCTTTCCTAACCATCCTTCGACCTGAGGGTTTTGACACCCTTTCGAGAGGGCGTCCTTTGTACCCTTCACCTTACTTTGAGGGTCCATGATTCTTAAGGGTTTGTTGATTTCTTGAATGTTGGATCCTGATCCTTTCGTTTATGATTGAAAAAACAAACACATCACATGATTGTCTACCCATTTACTCAGCATCCAACATGAAAAAGAGGGGATACTGGGACACAGTCGTGAACCCACCAGTCGCCTCCTGTACCTGGAGCCGGAGGGGTCGGGACACGGATGCAGATGGATCTCGGCCAAGAAGGCCTTGTTTTCTTTCTGGATTTGGGGACACCCTACAAGAAGAGGTAGAAGCTTTCAAGAAGAGGTACAGTAGATGTTTTCTCTACAAGAAGAGGTAGAAGCAAACACATTATCGTTCAAGGTTGAGTGGAGAAGCGAGTTCTGACCGTACGGTCTGACCGATCGGAGAGGTAGAAGCAGGTGAAGCTTCATTCTTGAGGGAAAGTAAGGGAGTCAGTGGATTGCCAGATTTACATACCCTTTGAGAGGATGAGAGACACCTTTATGTAGGCGCCAGGAGGGTCCAAGTCCAAGTACCCTCTGAGAATGTATGTGGAATATTTAGGTGGGTAAAAACACATCCCCTGTGTAGGGATCTCCGTTGGACACCAACAGCGGATAGTTAGTACAGATACCTTTCTGGGCGCTGAGTGGGTGATCCTCCAACCTGTTTTTGCAGCAGTTCCCGCGGTGAAACCTTCTGGAAACTTCCTCCATCGACTCTCTTGTTGTCCACCAAAACCACTGTTCTGGTTGACGGGTCGACCATCATCCGGCTCAATTATAACTTATCATCAACATGAAAAAGAAAAGCCGGGTGATAAATACTGAAGATACATGATAATTATGACAACCGAAGAAAGCAGCGTTGCCATGGAACATGATTTTTGAGACATCCTGGTGAAGTACTTGTTTTCTTTTTCGCGAATGTCGCGGCTCGCATGGCTCGCGACATTCGCCCATTATTTCGAAGCGAGAAGAGCCTGGGACACTGAGGATTCAGACTCAGCTCCCTAGTTGCACTTCCTGCTTTTGCACATAGGGACGCGTTTGTTCCCAAGAAGCGTTTTTCATCCGAAGAGCAAGAAAACGGCAGAGGATGCGAAACACATTGTTCTTTAGCACCAGTGGTGTTTCTTTTTTCACGCTCTTTGGGTGCAGTCCTCATGCAGATGCCAGGACAATGCTGAGACCAATGCTCCTGCACCCGAACATGCTGAGAAGGAGAAGACGCCCGTGCGCGGACGCTGCTGGGCACTGAGGGTCTTGGGCTGCCCAACAGTTGACTTGTCTTTAGGTTATGGTGCCATCATGGGCTCAGATTCTGAAGGTACCAAGAGGGAGCTGCACACCCGTCCCCCAGGTTTTTAGTAGGGTCACTGTAGGTTGTTGTTTCATGTGCTTTCATGGCTATTTGATCTTATGTGAAAGATGTCATCAAGGCAGAGAAGCTGCATGTCAGAAGTCTTGGTGCTTGCTTCTTCATTTCTTCATAAGCTATTTTGTTTCGATAGTCAAGAAGACAAGGCGAACAATTGATGGATGCTCTGGGCAAGCCCTCAAAACTGCGGGACATTGCCTTCATCAACCGGACGGTCTGGGACAACGTGGTGGCAGGGCTAAAGATCGATACTTCATCTGGCACAACCACAAGTGAAAGAGACCTCACCCCAGTTGAGGCTTCTCGAATCGAGATATTCCGAAGGGTCACCTTACTTCGGCTTGGTGCAAATCCAGATCACGTTGGATCGTCAACCGCACCGCCAGTAGTGTCCATCGGAGTCTCACCTTTGCCAAGTACTTCAACACTAACCTCTCCCACGAGGAAGCTGAAACTGAGCAGCGTGATCGACCCAACGCTGGATGCTGAGATTATTCAGCTAGAGCAGTCAGAAGTGGCACGCATGTATAGTACATACAAGGCAAAGTTCGGTGACCATCCAAGCCAAGAAGTGGAACCTTCGGCAGACCAACTGTCGGGTATCAATCAAATGTTGCGAAGTGGCGCGCTGCCATATTGCGATTTCAGTGTGTTTGGACCCCACGGACTCCGACAACTGAGAAAAGCAGTGTTCACCTCCTACGTACTGAATGTTGCCACAGGAGAGTGGTCCAAGCGCGAAGCTCCAGGGCCTGACTCGATCTTCAACTGGGAGAAGTCCTTTCGCACATTCAAGACGGCCTTGCTTCTCCTGGAGGCAGCCGAATCCGAGCGATTGGACGCGTATGCAGATCACATCAAAGAGCTTCATGGGCAGTTTGGCCATGAATGTTGGGGGATCATCTATAGGGCTGACGTGCGCATGAGATCCGAGTTTCAGGACAGGATACGCCGAGCCTTGGATGAAAACCCGAACTATGGCTACACCCGTGCAAGCCCTTGGTCAGCAGTGTTTGCACAGGCTGTCAAAGAAGGAGACTTTTGGACCAAAGAAGTCGTGACACCAGCAACCCTACTGCTAGCACGGAACAAATCCCTGCCAGCCAGACAGGACGGGGATTCATCCGATTCAGACCGAGGAGGCAAGAAAGTCAGACCAGATCAACCTCCGAAGAAGAAGAAGAAGAGGAAGTACGCCGGTGAAGACCTTTCGCATTGGGACGGGCAAGCTGGCGCCTTCTCTCTCAACCGGAAGGGGATACAGATCTGTCAGAAGTTCAACCGCAATCAATGCGGCAATGGCAAAGCGCAATCCCGATGCCCGAACAATCGCAGCCATCAATGCAACCTTTGTCTTGGCCCGCATATGGCCACGAAGTGCACAGGAGGCAAGCGACAGAAGAGCTGAGAAGGTGGAAACACCACGCTGACTACGGCTCCCGGGACAGACCCGGCCACACCAGGGACATCGGCAAAAGCGAAGCCAGCTCCTCCGCCTACGCCCACGCCAGAGGGAGACAACTCCAAGAGGAGGCCAGCATCACCAATTGGCCCCCCACCAAGGCGTGGCAGTGATTCACACCCTAGCGGGAGTCAGCCCGATCGTGAGACCCGCAGGTCGAGAAGCAGGAGAAAATCCCGCCGCAGGAGCTCGTCGAAAACACCTATCAAGAGAAGGATCAGCGACTTTCCCCTGTGGATCGCTGCAAAGAACATCTCCTCCGTGGGAGACCTTCCCAAAGTGACGAGGTGGCACAAGTACAGGTACGGTTGTACAAACCTGGAACCGGAACTGTGGGCTGACCAACCGAGATGCCTGTTGGTATTCAGCGGCAAGCACAGACCCGGGGACTTGGCTAGCTACCTCGGAGCAGAAGGATGGATCGTGGTCATCGTCGATAAGGTGGCGCCAGAGCCCACCGATGTGCTGTCAGAGCACAACCTCGACAAGATCCTAGCCGACACGGAAACCGGCATGTACGACGTGGTGGGGTGTGCAACCCCGTGTGAAACACTATCACCGCTCAGGGAATCACCTCCAGGCCCAAGACTGCTGCGATCTTTGGATAAGCCAGATGGGCTGCCAAGCGAAGAGCTGACCGAAAGTGAAAGGATTCAGCTCAAAGAGGCAAACCGCCTCATCGCGCTATCAGCAAGGCTCGCGGAAATCCAAGCTACAGCGGGCAGGGCCTTCTGGATCGAGAACCCAGATCACAAAGACAAGCTGGACCTATGGAAGACCACTCCCCTGAAGTTCCTCGCCAGAGAGTTCAACGTATGGATCACCGAATTTGACCAATGCAGGTTTGGAGCAGAAGTTCGGAAGCCCACAAAGCTGATGTCGTTCCACATGAACTTTTGGGGCATCGGAGACCTCAGATGCAACCACCCAGTTCAACAGTGGACGAGAACGGACGGCTCCACCTACAAAGCACCACACGAATCCTTGGTGCAGAGATGGAGAACAAACGACGAGGGGAAGAAGGAGAGAGCCAGCAAAGCGTTGGCAGAGTATCCTCCACAGCTGAACTACGCATTGGCCCAAGCCACAGTGAGTGTCAGCATGTCCAGAGCAACGGCTATGCTCACAGCTCTGAAAGGAGAGCTCGCACCCTCACGAAGCTGAGGGCACGGCAATTTTTACGGGCCACAATTGCTGGATAGAGCTCAGAAGCTCAGAGATATCGAAAACGAGGCAGCAATAGGAGGAATGCGAAACCCAGCTACATCAGCCGCAAAGATCCCAAAATCACTACATTTTGGAAACGCTATAGGAGATCTACTTCACCTGGCCTCTTCACACGAATCCGTTCTCAGTCAGGTTGACCACCTCCTAAATGGCGAAGCGGCAAAACCACTGGACTCACGTCTCATTAACCACTTGAGAAGTTCGGTGTTAGAAGTGTTGGGAAACGACATCGAGGGTCTGCCCATTCGATCGGCCACAGCACGTACCCCACTTCAACCCGAGATCTTCTGGGCATGGGGAAAAGCCACGGGGGATCCGGACTCAGTGACTCTCGCCTCTTGGTTACAAACCGGGGCACCACTGGGTTTCTCGGAACCTATTCCAAACACAGGCATATTCCCGCCGGTGGAGTCGATGAAGTGGGATCTTGAAGCAGCCAAACTCCTGGCCAGAGAATTTGAAGGCTGGCAAAATCATCCTTCAGCCAACGAATTTGAATCAGACCTCAACCAACTTGTTCGGGATGCGTTGGACAAGGATTCTGTTCATTATCGGACTCGGTCGAGGAGGCAACGTGTAAGGTGGGGATCGAACCGACCTTCAACAAGCTGGGTGTAATTGTTAAAGAGAGGGCTGGCAAGAGGAAAGCCCGCATCATTTGGGACCTTAGAGAAAGTGGTGTCAACAAATTGTATTCACAAGGCGAGAGAATTCTCCTTCCCCGCCTTAGCGATGTTGTAGGAGACGCTCTGGACGTATTCAGAAGAGGAGGAACACCTTCATTCTTCGCAATAGATGTCCGCGATGCATTCCACAACATTCCCGCGGGAAAAGATAGGGCCTATACCTCTGCCGTGGTGAACATAGATGGCCGCCAACAAATTCTCACATTCGACGTTTTGGTGTTCGGGTCCGTTTCTTCACCAACTTTGTGGGGACGTTTTGCTGCCTGGTTTGGACGAACGCTCGCAGTTGTAAACCCCGAGGTTGCCATGCAGGTTTACGTGGACGATCCCATCATGGTGTTCGATTCACAGAATCCCGCACTCAAAACACTCCTAAAAAGTCCCTGCTATGGGCTGCAATCGCTGGGTTCCCCATCAAACTGCAGAAGACTGATGCTGGAAACGAAGTCAAATGGATTGGTGCCCTCATCAAAGCCTGCCACGACACCAAAACCACAAAAGTGACCATACCTGCGGATAAAGTTGCGGAGTTAGTTCAGAAGATTGACACAATATTGGCAAAACCGGTTGTAGGAAGAAAACAGCTACAATCTCTAGCGGGAGCTCTATCCTTCGTTGCAGGCATTGTGCCGCTCATGCGTCCGTTTCTGGGAGCCCTGTGGGCAGTGCTTGCCACAACGAATGACGGTTCTAATTTTAGAACCAGAAATGTTGTGCACACTCGCCGCATAAGGCACGCCCTAGAATGGATCAGAGCCGTGCTGGAGGGAAAACAGACTCCGCTGGTGCGCACTCTTCGGGCGTTCCGTCCGACCTCGGGAGTGATCATCCTTACGGATGCCTCCACGTGGGGATAGGGTGCAGTTATGTTGGAACAAGAAGAATTCTTTTCGTGTCCTACCCCACCGGAATTCATCCTCCGAACTGGGGCAATCCCTGGCATCCCGAAACACATGACTCTCTGGGAAGCATTGTGCCTACTTTTAGCCGCTCGGACGTGGCTCACCAAACACCCGATTGGGTCAGTGGTACGTGTCAAAGCGGACAACATTGGCGCCCTCTACCTCATTGCAAAGGGCAAAGCCAGCTCCCCAGAACTGTCGATGGTCGCCAGGGAGATAGCACTGGACCAAGCGAACGAGAAATACGAGTTCACCATACTCCAACACATCAACGCTGAACAAGACTGCAGACCCTCTCAGTCGACAACATGACCCCAATCCTCCACCTTTTCCTGAGAACCTTCAGGGCGCAACACGCGTTCCCATTGAAGTAGGTCCTGAGTTTTGGCTTCTCCCCGAGACCGCTCAAACCCTTCGAAGAGAAAAGCGCAGGAGTCCGTTGTGTGCTTGGTCAAACCCACACACATATAAACAAAACGGGTCAAACAGCTCCTAAAGCGGATCGTACTCAAGAAATCTAGTGGCGGACGTGATAGGGATGGCTCAAGCACGAAACGCTCTTTGGGTCCCTCACGTTTCCTGTACGATCCAAAGAGGCCAGAAGTCCAGGCTCCACCTAAAGGTTTGCGGCCATTGGACGAAGGCCCGGTGGTTTGTCACGCACCACCAAGCCATGGCACAACCATGCAGGAGGAGAGCCACCGTCTGGAGGCAAAACCTTACTCCAGGGGCTCCCTGAAGTTGGCTATTCATGAAGCAACTCTGCACCCAAACGAGTGCGCAGAGCACATCGGAAAGCGAGCCAAAGCTGAATCATCGCGTTTGCCCATTCAATCTAAAGAGAAAACCTGGGCGGCAATAGCATCGGCAGCTGGATTCTCGACACCGTTCGTGCTCACACCTCAGCTCATCTTCACAGTGACAGGGGCATTAGACAAAGCGGGATATCGCTCGACAGAACAGTATCTGGAAACTGCCCGCCAAGCTCATATCAGCGCAGGACACGCGTGGACACAACAGCTCAACCTGGCGGCAAAACAAGCCAAGCGAGCTTGTCAGCTGTCTGCCCAAGTTGAATGGTGCAAACGCCACGGTTTTCTTCACCTCCTACCACAACCGGACGGGTCTACATCGACCAAAGCCGGCTGGGCCGACACGTTTGAGCATTTGGGCAAACAGCTCAAACTTCCCATCCTCACGGACACAGGCCTTAGGAGGTTTACCGGTCATTCGGCCAGAGCCACAGGTGCCATACACCTTGCACATACGCACACTGAACTGTGGCGTATACAGCTCTTTGGTCGATGGGGATCGGATTGCTTCCTTCGATACGTCCGAGAAGCACCGCTATCTCAATTGTTTGGCCTCGCGCAGGAGGCCACCTTGCAGACTTCCCTGGCAGCTGCAAGAGCCGAACTCGCGGCCATTCTTGCCAAAGTGCCGGATTCTGCAAATCGCACGGCTACAACAGACTTCACCGCGCAAAAGATTGAAGTCTTAGCCGATTGCGAAGCCGCAAACACTTTGGTACCTGACGTACCTGTGCCAGCATGCCCTTTGTTCGTCGTAAACCTTGCTCCGGACGGGAAGGTTCACAAAGTGGGTCGCTCAGGTCCGCACCTGCCCCACTACTTATGGCGAGCTGCATGTTCTTGGCCGTTTGCCAGGCACCACGCCGACTACGATCTCACGGACACACGTCCCACAGATCGCAAGTTGTGCGCTAAATGTTTTAAACTCCCAAAGACAAAGGAGTCAGACGAAGAGTCCTCCTCCTCTTCTTCGTCCTCGTCAGAGTCATGCGCTCCGCAAGTTGGATCAGATGGGCAGTGACTCAGTATGAGGAAGCTTGACACCACAGCTGAAAGTGTCCCTTAGCTGTGGTGTGACTCTACTGCCCAACATCTTACAAAAGGTGCGATCCGACTCTGCTGCCTTTGTTTCTGCTTCTGATGAAGATGTCAATTGTTGTGTGTAACAAAGAAATTGTGAAAGTAACAATAGACACAATCAGAAGGGGAGTTGTGGGAGGGACTTACCATCCGCAGCTCGTTTGGGCCATTTTGGCTCAAGAGCATGTGGGGTTTGATCCTTTCCGTTTTCCCACCCACCCACACCTGATGGGATTGGACGGGAGGAAGCTTGACACCACAGAGTTTGGGAAGCTGACAGTGTCCCTTAGCTGTGGTGTGACTCTACTGCCCAACATCTTACAAAAGGTGCGATCCGACTCTGCCGCCTTTGTTTCTGCTTCTGATGAAGGTGTCAATTGTTCGGTTTGATTTGCACAGTTTAGATAGTGGACTTCGAAGCAATACTATTTCACATATTGCAGATGTCGAAGACTCTTGGTTGGTTGGTTGGTTGCTTGCTTGGTTGCTTGCTTGGTTTGTTGGTTGGTTGCTTGGTTGGCTGCTTGCTTGCTTGCTTGCGTGCTTGCGTGCTTGCCTGCTTGCCTGCTTGCCTGCTTGCCTGCTTGCCTGCTTGCCTGCTTGCCTGCTTGCCTGCTTGCCTGCTTGCCTGGTTGCCTGCTTGCCTGCTTGCCTGTCTGCCTGCCTGCCTGCCTGCTTGCTTGCCTGCTTGCCTGCCTGCCTGCCTGCTTGCTTGCTTGCGTGTTTGCCTGCCTGCCTGCCTGCCTGCCTGCCTGCCTGCCTGCCTGCTCGCTTGCTTGCTTGCTTGCTTGCTTGCTTGCTTGCTTGCTTGCTTGCTGCTATTCCACGCAAATGACAGGGTTGCTTACACATATTTACAAATGCTTGGTTTGAAAAGCAGTGGCTACAAATGTCAGGAGAACTTTGGTGACGGATCTATTTTTGGAAAGGAGACTACAACCAAAAACTGTTTGTTTGGCTTGGGTCCGATGCTCTCAGCATTTCCTCAGGAGCAGCTCGAAGCTCAGGCTGCGGAGAATCTGACAGATGTTCAGAAGGAGAGAGAGACAGAGAGAGAGAGAGCGAGAAGAACTGTTCGTCACAGGTCTTCGTAGTTTTCCGGTTGGTGGTTTCATGAATACTGTTTACTTGGCAACCCTATTTGCGATTGACAACAAGTTGATTCATGTTTAGATGATCTATATGTACTGTTTTTTTGTTTCAGTTTGGTGGGTGACTATAGTTCTAGTACCCTATGGCTTCGAGTCGTTTCCCTTGGTCATACCCTTTGGTCCTAGACTTCGACTCCGGCGCTGGGCCAGGAGAACCACACGACGAACCGCACCGCTCAGGAGGTCCGAGACATCACCTTCTCTGACCATCTCTGACCTATCTAGCCACTATAAGGCTAGAAGAAGCATGAGCTTGAATCTGTAGGAATTGTATTGCTATGAAGAAGCACCTGTTTCTCACTATACGACGATTCATGCAGGGGTATGAGGATGTTGCAATTCGTGGCGGACGGTGGACGGTGGATGATTGGTGGTTTTCCACAATATGTTTGTCCTGAAATCGATCAAAAGAAGACATCATCATGGTCCAAGCAGGTGCACCTGGTTTTGGACCTGGACAGTTTCAGGGGTCGTTGGTGGAAAGGGTGGAAAAACCAATAGCCAGATCGCCATCCGTATGATCATTGGAACAAATTATATTTGTTGGTTTTGTCGGTGATGGTGTGCCATGGGTATTCGACATTGTGGGGTGACTTCTTGTTCTTGTGGGCTGACTTCTTTCCATTGGTGTGCCATGCGGTGGGCTGACTTCCGGTTGTGTGGGGCGCGAAAGGTCGAGTGCTCGTATCTGCAGGTCACCTCTCTTGAATGAAGAAAGGCCTTTGCCCTTGTAATGGAAAAAAAACAGCTGGCGAGTTCGCAGCACCTTGATTTTCCACAAATCTTCTCAACGGCATCGCGAGTCGTTGGTCTTCTCCACGACCGGTGGTCCGCGGAATCTTCGGCCTTGCGGCGTCAGGCAGTGCAGAAGGAGCTGAAGGCTGTGCAGCTCGTAGGCTCTTCCAAGTCGATCGGAGATGAGCAGGTGGGGAGATGAGGGGAAGATGAGGGTTCAGCTTTGGACCCAACTTCTGAATAAGTGCGATTGCACCTTGCAACTACAGAGGTTTTGGATGATGTGGATGGGGTGTGTGGGGAGGTCCAACACTTGAAGAGTTCAAGATCCGAGACTGGAAGTACGTGGGGAACAAGCGATTCGGGGCATCCCGCGTTTCACAAGAACAGATGGAAGAAGGTTAACTTTATGTTCCAGGAAAACTGAGGGAGTCAGTCTAGGTTCGGCACTTGAAAACGAAGGGTTGATCATGGTCCATCATGGTTGATCCAGATGGATGTGACAACGATTCCTAGATAAGTTGATAAGTAATCCGTTGATAGGGAGGCAAGATTTCATGCATATTTGGGAGGAACGCATTATAATTATCATGGGAGTAGAGATTCTTACACAATTGGCAGTTAAACAATTCAACCGAACTGCTGGCTGTGAGCAAAAAACCTCCAAATAGGACCCCCGCCACTGGATTTCAAAGAGAGACCATGGATTGGGGGTCGGCCCAAGCTGGTCTGGGGGACTCCAAATTCAATCCCATGTGACAAAGGGCATTGCCTGTCCGGCATCCTGCTCTTTCTGGTTGAGCCTGTATGCATATTTCCTGCCTACTCGGTAATTCAATTTCTTTGATGCCTTTTGAAGTATTTGCCTTGCTTGCTGCTTTTGAACAGTCGAGCAATTGTGCTCATTTTGCCCAAGGGCGTGCGTCAAGTGCAAATAGGCTTTTGCAAGCACGCCCTGAGCGTGTTTTGATGACACCGGCTTTAAACCCTTGACGACCTGAACTCCTCAAGAACGCCCCCAGTGAATGCTTCGCAAGGCAGTTGATCTGTGGACCACCCCAGTTTTGGAACAGTTGATCTGGGTCGCAGGTGTTCAACGAGTCCAACACCTCCAATGCCTCGGAGGTGGCGTCCTTCGCGTCGTTTCGTGCTTCCAGCGAATGAGGGGGCTGGGGAAGGGGCTGGGGAAGGATCCTGCTGTTCCTTCAAAGGCGGAAAGCCAACTGAACGGTGCGACGGTGCAAGGTGTGGTGCAACGGTTGTCTTGGGGGAAGGTGTGTTCTCTTTTGTGGGCGCGGGCATGAGATGTTTGAGTTGGGTTGGACCCACATGACCTTGGGGATGGACATGATGGGCAGACCTTGTGGGTGGGAACATGTGGTGCATGATGGTGTTGGACTCCAAACGCATGTAGATGGTGGAAGTTCCCTGAAGCTTTGACTCCCAAACGAACCACAAACACCTCTGATGAACGGCCTGTGGGGCTACAGCCGCTGTTTCGACCCTCAAGTGCGTTCGCAGCACCATTTGTGTTTTCTTTTAACTCTCTCCTAGGCCCAGAGGCCGTGTCTCTGGCCCAGAGCCTTTTTTACTTGCACCATTTGGACCATGTGTTTTTTCCTTGTTGTTCCAGGAGAACGTGCCACCTCATCCGTGGCATCTCTTGTTAAAGATACCTCACCCGGCTCCCCGGAGATGTGGGTCTCTTCGTCGCCGGAACAGTCGCGTGTGGACACCGGGAGGCCCTCACGCCGTCAACACGCCCGTCACGGTTGACGAAACACCAATGAGTCGGTCACAGGATTGGTGAACGTGTATTCTGCGCCCTAGCAGTGCTACGCGTGACTGCTGTGTCCTTTATGGTAGGTTTCAGGGCCACCCTCATGTTCACACCAAACAAGCGGTGATCCCCAAATCAGTTGTTCATTAAATATATCGGGGAGCTTTGAAGCTGCCACATGAGGGGGAACACATGGGTGTGTGTAGTTAAATATGGAGCACCCATGGCCAAAATTGGTTGACATCTTTTTCTGAGGTCGTTGCAGGTCTCCCTATTTGGATGCACAACATGGACAAGGATCGAAGTATAACTAGATATCGACCCCCGAGTCGTTTTGTAAGGCATCCCTATCGCTTTGGACACACATTGGAAAAACATCCACCGTGTCCTCTTGGATTGCTATTCCCTTTGTCCTCAACATGGTTGATCTCTGCAGGTGCTGAACAGCTCCAATGACACAGAGGCACGCAAGCCACAGAGCGGGGTAGTCAAAGACTAGCTTGACACTGGATCAATGGATGACTTGACTGTCCATAACTACTGACATAGACTTTAGACCCTTAGTCCTGGTCGAGAAGGGACTTTTTACTTGCTAGGGCAAACCCTTAGCAAAGAAGCCATGGTCAGCCACGATGAACCTGTCATTTTTTTTTCTGGGACCCAGGGACCTACGCAATCGGACCCGAGCAGTCACAGCTCGTTGAGTCAACATGGGTGGCACCGGCAAACCGGACAACCCAGCCCAGCACCAGCAGTCACCAATTGTTTGAGACCATTTCTTGTTTATTTTCCGGTGGTAAGTGTCATTTCTAGAGCTTCCCTGGATTGGACTCATTGTAGCTCACCTGGGAGTCACAACCTACCGAGGGCCCAAGGGGATCAAAAGGAGTGAAGCATGAACTCACCCAGGATAATAATGTGTCGTCATTTGAGCGTGTAACTGCCAGACAAACCATCTGTGGATGGCACCGTCAGATGAGGAATTTTGTTTCCCAAAAACGAACATACTGTACGTCGCTAACAATTCGCAGATGAATACCCTCGCCGGCAAGACCAGTGGAGGAAATGCTCCATCTTCCAATCCATCTTCCAATTGGGGCATCTTTGTCCAAAGGATCACCCACACACTGAATCAACCAGCACCCTCCAAGAAGTCTCCTCTTTAAACGGCTTTTGGAGATTCAAAATACTTGAAAGGTGGCAGGCAGGTGGTGATCTGTGAAGTCGGGTGCAAGGAACTGTTATTCTTTATTTCTCATCGATCTTTTTCGTATCAGGTGATCGTGTATTTTCCCGAACTTAATAAATCCACCAACCTGGGACTATGTTCAATGTTCTACCATGTTTTCACCATCTTCCAGGTTCCTGGACAGCAAATCCAACTCATAGGATGGACTTTGGAAGGTCCCTTTTTTTTATCCGGGATTCCTCAGACCTATGGATCAATCCTTCGAAACCAGAAGAAGAGGACGACATCATTCTTGGCGAAGCGGAGCAAAAACAAGAAGGACGACTAAGATAATCAGGTCGCATTGCCCCTGAAAACACACTAAAAGTCCAGGTGGACTATATTTGGCATCACAGAAGTGAAAGGAAATTTCAGGTCACCTTTGAAGACCCAACACTACTTAGGGATCTCCATTGGACACCCATTGGATGGTCCCGGTAGTCATTGGCCTCCCAGGGTAAGTGATTTTGTCCTTTCTGCTTGGCAAACACGGCCCGCTGCCCACACGCGAAGGTGAATGACACGAACGAATCCAATTTCTCAGCGGCCGTGTTCGAGCAGGCGGAGCGATGTGGTGGGTGAGGATTCGCACGAGAAACCACGCCAAACCCACGGTCCAAAGAGGTGTTTTACATACTTAGACGATGAAACCACGATGCGGGCCTCCATGAGATACCTCATGGAAGGCTCCAAGTTGTATAGGGACTGTTTTATAGGATTCATGGGGATTCAGTGCATATGAACAATTAGACCAACTATATAGATGGATTCATGATGATTCAGATGATATGAATCTCATGAGACTAAATGGGCCCATGGGTCCAATTAGGCACGTGTTCGGTGCACGATTCTCCGGACCGATCCACACCTCTTCCATCGTCGCGTAGTTCTACGTCTGACTACTGGGATAGGACCTGTACTACGGCTGCATCTAAAATGGGCCAAGACCGGAGGAGACAGTCCCTCTCCAAATCAATGAAGAACTTCCAGCACCCCAGTTCGGAGCTTTGGGGATGTCGGGGGGGTCACACAACACCACTCGAGCTTTGCTGGGAGCAGTTCTTCACAGTTATCAAGGTCTTCCCAGATCCTTTTCGATCATCCCCACAAAGCGCTAGATACACACAAATGACTTGAATCAGTCTTCTATAGGACCGTTCTTCTTTCGTTTGAAGATCCCTCCTTCGAACTCATTCCGTCGTCGCAGGCGCATGCGTTGGTGAATGTGTCCGCTGTCTCGGAAGCCTCGGAGGACTATCATCAGCAGGTGCCGACCGGGTTGTCACGCAGGGTGGGTAGCCAGGTCTGCGGTTGTTCGACGCATGACAAGGCAGAAACATCAGAAACGTGCATCGGCATGCGGCTTCAGGTGGTTTGTTTGGGGATGTTCATTTTCTTTTTGAGTTTCTTCGGTCAGGTGGAAGCGGAAGGCCTCACTGTGAGTCGAAGAAGATGAAGGAACAATCCTCTTTTTTGGAGGTGGACGCTGGTCGATTGATGTAAAGAAACTGACGTTTTGGTTTGTACCTTGAAGAGATGAGAAGAGCCACGGGGCCCTCGTAGGAACCCAAGAATGATGTGACACTGCTGGTTAGCAATGGACCCTCTCAAGACCAACGTCCCGGCCAAGGTCAGGTGTCTTGAAGTTCATTTGTAGTGCCAGCTTCTTCAGAGTGACCCTATCCAATAACCTCAGTCTTGACCTTTTTACAAGCCTCCCAAACTCAATGAACGTTGGGTCACCATTGGATCACTCACCACACCACCAGGTGCATCACTTCGCCACACGGTTCACCCTCGGTTCGCCCTTGGTGGTTTGCTTCCGAACGTTCAGCTCATGGGCGAACTGGATCGATGCGGTTCTCAGAACGTCAAGGACGAGCGCACCGCTCGCGGGCCACGCGATCGGCGATCGTGAGCTGAAGAGGTGGTGATTTCAAGGGCGACCACTCCCCCCCTACCGAGCAATACCTGCTGCATTTGAGGGAGATGGTTCCAGATGTGAAGCAGGAGTTCCACACGAATGCGGAATGCGGTGGTAGGTGTACTCATTCTCCACTCACTGAGGGTCTTAAAACCACTCACTGAGGGTCTCCACTCAGTAGGGTAGATGTCTTTATATAAACTACTTTGAAACTCCTGGAATGTGTACGTCGTTGACATCTCTTCTTCCCATCATTTCCACCCTGCGGTGCAAAAGAGCTTCGACTTGATGTGTGAAACAAGGGTGAAACTCCCGTTGTTCCATCATTTTTTCCCTTAGCCTCCTGTGATGTGTCATTTCAAGTGATGTCTCTATGGCCTCTATGGCATATGGCCCAAACATTCGGTGCCTCCCAACAGATTCCGGTTAAACAATATGTACCAGACTATCCTGGAAACCCAAACAACCAGACACAGTTCTGGATAGTTTCCGCAGTTCCAACCACTTCCCACCTAAATGCATCTCTCAAGCAAGCTGGCGCCTTCCTCGCGGGGTTTCCAACCATGATATGGCTTGAGATCCTTTGGGCTTTCCGTGTTACACACAACGTCTGGTCCACCGTCCCAGCCGAGACCGTCATACGTCGGTTCGCTTCGGTTCGCTTCGGTTTCGGCGACCTGGCGAAGACTGCCTAGCAGATGCCCTACCCATGGAAGAACGGCAGAATTGGAGTTATAGACCATAATGATATATAATATGGTATATAATATTAATATTGATAACATTTATAGATAATTATTATATATATTATATACGAAGTTATATTGGAGTTATACATTCCTCCCGCTGTTTTCACATTGGTCCGTACATGATCGATGTCGATCCGTTCAAGAGCTTTCAGACGGACAACCAGTTTCGCGCGAAGGTGAGAACTCTGCATGTTCATGCATCATTCAGGTTGGGTGGTTCTACCTGGTTCTATCAAAGGATCAACATGTGGAAGGTGTGTGCCCAAGAGATGTGTGAGTCACCAGAGAAGCCTTCGTCCTGTCTGGAGCTTTCTGCCAACCGGTAGGCTCAAATCGGAAGACTTCCCAGCGCAACGACCCTTTGGAAGCTTCGGAAACTAGACCAGTTGACCCAGCCAGGGCCGCCAGGGTGACTCCCTCTTGACTCATGTAGCTGGGGAGCGCCCCTACTTCATGGCCCGGCATGGCCCTGCGGCCTGCGCTCTCCAGGACGCTACCCTCTCCAACAACCCCTTGCGCTTCACCCTGAAGTGCTTCTTCCAGGCTCCCATGATCCGATCCTCGGCACACGCGTTGGGCGCCGGGGATGGGATGCGGGATGGGATGGACGAGTCATGGGACGAGTCGACGTTGGCAGGACAATTCATGGTGTACACCCTATAGAAGTCCAAAGAGAGCCAAAGAGATCATGGTTGGCACATGTTGGCACCACGGAAGTCGTTGGGAACTTGAAGTTGGGCCACCTAGTAGTCAGACCCTTGATGAAATCATCGACTGAACTCCCAGGGTGTGGGGGACGTGTGTGTCTTCTTCCCGGCGAAACCGTGGAGTGGCTCAGTTCAGCTCGGCAGTTCCTGAGGCCGGAGGAGCTGTTTCGGATCGCCGGCAAAACCGTTTTCTTCATACCATGTAGTCTGACACACTCATGCAATGTCGCAGAAGACTTGATCAAATTGCACATAGATTGCAAACTGCACAGAGAAGTTTTGTTTTGAGGATGTTTCAGGAAACCATCATCTCACCCGTGGTTCTGTGCACCGCACCCCTATCCTCTCCCCTAGGCACCCCGTCTTGTGACTTCTGGTTGTTGTGATTTGGTGTTTTTTTCCTTACATAAATACTCCCCAAACACTCCATCTATGCCATATTTGTCCGGGGGGTGGTTTACTGGTTTTGGGGGCTTCAATGTAGGTATATTCCATCCATGGATGGTCTGCCATTGGCATTTATATTTATATACATGGCAAAAAACACGTGGCTCAAAAAAAATAACGATCTAAACCCAAGAGCCATCATGAACCTACACACTTTAGGTCCTAGGTCCTAGAGGTCCTAGCTCGCCCGTCAAAGGTAGGGCCTTTCAGCACGCAGAGGTGGTCCGGAGGTGTTACCTCCTCCGCTCCGAGGATGTTCGCCGTGGATCTTCGACCCGAAGCAGCACGACGGGTGGTTCAAGGAGACCTGGATCACGGATCAAAAGGCCCGGGGTGGGAGAAGAGGATGTGAGGGGGATGAGGAGGAGGAGGATGAGGAGGATGAGAAGGATGAGGAGGATGAGGGCGACCTGGGAGTGGTGATCTGGGGAGCAATTGGTAGAAGTTGGAAGAGCCAATTCAGGGGCCGGAGGGCCGTAGATGGGCCAAAGAACAGAGATGGGCCGTAGAAGATGGCGACCTCGGCACTAATTTGCACTTGCACATGGCGAACAAGAGTGATGCTTATTGGCTGGTCCAGTCTGTGGCTTCGTCTTTGACTCCCAAAACAAAGTAAAGAATCTGCAGGAATCGCCTGAAGAGTGTGAACAGCTTTGTTCAACTTGGAGTGCCCCTCCACCCATTCACATGGAACATCCTTGGTAAGTCAGCTGTTGTTAGGGATTTATATCATTAATAGTCCATTAATTCATGAAGCGATTTGGTGATTCTTTCAAATTTCCAGACCTTTGTCGATCTTCCAGCAAGTCTTCAAGATGTCTTCTTGTGGGAAGGAACACATGCAATGGAGCAGTCCCAGTATCCACAGGGTAGAGGACCCTTCATTCTTTTTTTCAACATTCATTTACGTCTGTGTTGTCTACGACGTCTTACACCCATTTCAAGATGTTCGATACCCAGGTTGCAAGGTGCCTGCTAAGAGTTTATGTGGACTCGCGCCACCCCAAGAGTTTGTGCACGCTGGCAGCAAAAACTGACTTTTGTTGGCCCTCTCCGAGACACTCAGCGATGCAGCAAAAACATGATGGGCCCTTGACTGCTGCAAGACGAAAGCACCTACCCATCGGACCCATCGAGGAGAAAGGACCTTCTTTTTCGGCCCCGAACCAAGGGAGTGAAATGTTGGTCAATGAGTCATACTGAGTACTCCCCAATTCATATGGGAAACCATTGGGAAACCAATGGAATGTTCATTTAGTCCATGTTCCCTGTAAGTAAATCCTCTTCTCTTCGGTTTCCGAATTTCCCATGCGATTTCTTCGATACTCTTGCGGAGCGGCACAAGCACTTGGACTGATGTTTCCTTTTTTTTGGATCCATGTGGCTGAAACGAACCCAGTCAACCCATCAAAGCCCAGTCAGGTTCCACGGGTTTGACTTCCACCCAAACCAACACGCCAGGCGTTGTTCTTCATGCCGATGTACGGGTCGACTGGTCGGGTCAACATCCGCTGTTGACCCACGTTAGCGTTGATGGGGTCTTCCCAAAAACATATATATTTTTGAGAGTCTGCTCCGCCACAAACAGCTCGGGGGTCAACAGCTCGGGGCCCTCCAGTACGTCAAGTAAGAGTGGTCCGTCCAAGTTCGAACGTCATCACGGAGAGGGATCCAACCGACCCCTTAACATCTGAGAAACTCGTTCGACCAAACAAGCCAACTAAGTAGACGGTGGCCAGTGGGGGGGCCTGTTTCTCTACCTGGAAAGCATGTGGGGAACTCTTTTTTGCCAGAGGAACTAGTCGCTTGGCTCATTTGCTCGGTCCGCTTAGTTGCGAGGTCCGCTTGCAGAGCTTTTGGATCTTGGCGCTCTTCGTGGTGCTGCTCCTCTTCTTCGTCTTCTCGGTGTATAGGGAGCAGATGAAGAAGCACACCAAGGAGGCATCTTCGGGTTTGGACGCTTCCGCGTCTTTTCGCAGGATGTGGGGACGTGCTTTGCACTCCGCGTGTGCCGCATTGGCCCCCGGAGGGGGGGGTTTTTGGGGTCCGTTCTTCAGGTGACCGGCGAGCTCTGAAGCATAAGGGCTTTGGGTCTAAGTGATGTTCTTCCTACAGTCTCCCAATGAACGCTGAAAAACACAAAACGCTATATCCAAAAGATATCAAAAGATCCATCGAACTGCTACAGCTCTAGGATCGTTCGGATCTTTCTTTGGGTTCGATCTATATAGCTCAGCATTTGCTATGACGGGTAACATGCAAGCTAATCAATGACACCTGAGCGCCCTCGTGCGGGGCGAAGCGTGAGGTCGGCAGTCGGACATATAGGACGAGACCGCGAAGTCTCAAAACATGGGGTTTACTAGCAATGTCGGACCTCTCTAAATGGTATTTCAAGCTTTGTTTGCTCCATTTGTGCAAGTGATGGAGTAAGGATTATGTTGAGCCCACTAAATGTATCAACTAGAAGCCAAAGTGATACACAGCTCGTGATGTTAGATTGTTTTCCTCTATTGACATCTATTGACCAGCATTAGGCTGAGAAGTCTGTAGTGGAAGGATCTTCAGCCAACGTAGCTCCAGTCCTCTCATACTCTCAAAAAGCATCTTCTAACTTCACAAGTTGTGACAACTTCTGCATGTCGAATGTAGACCAGCCGAGGATCGCATTGAGTATGCCGAGGGATCTGCTCACTGGCTCCAAGGAACTCAAAAGTTGCCTGTACTGTAGGCTTCCAATCCATTGCTTTCTGTAACTTGTCTCAATACCAGCAATGCAAGGGTCGATTCTGAACAAATCGTCCCGGCAAAAGGCGAATCAACAGGAATGAACTGCGGTTCTTCTCGAGCTGTCTCCCATCAAGGAGCTGTCAACTTTTTTCTCGATGGGTTCTTTCTCAAAGCTTCGAAGTCTGAAAGGTACTCATTATCAAAGGATGCTAAGTATTGTTCCAATGACCATGCAAAATCACGCCACATCGACTCCTCTTCTCGACTCTTGGGATCAAATACTCCAGGCTTGGGCAATGTCTTGTACCAACTCTTTTCATCATGTCTTTGGCTCCTTATCTCTGCCAAAGCTTGAGCTGCTACTGTAGCTGCTGATGCAGCTTCTGTCGCCATCATCATTCTCCTCGCCAATTCTAGTCCATCCATCTGCTCACCTGTGGCTCCACTAGGGCTTCCAGCTGGGCTCATCACTGCAGGAACCCTCCGCACCAGCCATGGCGTCGAAACGAGCCTCACCCCAAAAAGGGATCCTTGGCTCCGGTACCATGCGAAAGTGGTCCTTTTCTCGAACCTCAACGCGGCAAATATGGAACTCCTTGATATTGGAACAGTTTTGGAGGACAGAGGATGAGCATCCAAAATAGAACATATACCATTAGTAGCATACCTGATGTTAAATACCAAATGTTATTTAGCATTACACCAATTTTTTTTAAAGACAAAAAGTTACATTTAGTATTTGTTTGACCAACTGCTATTAAGACCAAAACTTTTTAATCTAATTTTAACACCAAATGTTATTTAAACCAAACGTTATATTTAGTATTGTTTGACCAAATGTCATTAAGACCAACATTATTTAATCTAAATTTAATACCATGTGTTATTTAATATTGGACGTTCCAAGGTTATTAGTATTGCCTTTCAACGACACAAGAGAGCCATGGCTAGAGCTTTGAAAAGGCCTGCCAGATTGGCAAGGAAGTGTAGCAAGTGCCCTTGCGGCAAGTGGGTGCCTTGCAAGCACCCGGGTCAGTCGAACTTTCTGCGTGGAGCACAGCATCCTCCGCGGTCATTGCGTTGATGACCGGCTGTTCAACAGGAGCGGGGGGGACAGTCGAGCTGAAGCAAGTTCCCAGAAGGATTCGCCAACTGACTGGTGCTTAGTAGGGAATAAGGGAATGAGCCCCCGAGATTCTATTGGATCCATTCCCTCATTCCCTGCTTTCGTCGCACCAGGATTCGCCAAGAGTACCCCGCAGCTTTTCACGCAGTGGTCCCACAAAGAGGCCGGCTGCGGCATCGTGTGCCTGTCCCAGCGGCCTGATGTTGCTGCCCTGCGCCGCTTTTCAAAAACTTTGCGGCGGATGTACCAAGAAGACCTTGCAGAGCTCCTAAAATGGTTCTTCGTGGCGCACAGGCAGGGCATGTGCAGACTTTATTCTGACAAAGCATGTGGAACTGGCCCAGGGCAGGAGAAGGAGGGCCTGGCAGGAGAAGAAAAAGGGAAGGAATGGGAAAACGAGCGCAGCAAAGAACTGAGGAGGGAAAACGATCATTCAAAAAGACCATCAAATCGAACATGAGACGAAGCCAATTCCTTTTGAGGATCGACTTGTGTTCGTAATTCCGTGGTGGAACTGGC